CAACAGCTACAACATCTGAAACTTATTTTCTGTGCTTGAAAATTAACCACATTCAAGCGTTCAAGTAATACCAGTACTTTAGTTTAGCCTGGAAAGTTAGAAAAATATCCCAGAAAAAGGCAAACCTCTGTAGTGCTGCTAAGAATATTAATGGATACTTCCATGAAAACTTCACTAAGACTTGAAATCAACCTGAAGATCTTTGTTTTCCCTTTCCATCTCTATAAAGAAATTGCATATAATGTATTTGGAATATAAATCTCACAAAACTCTGTAGTATGTAGATCATTATTTGTTCTTTTTACAACTCTGTTATTCCTTAATTCAGGGTAGAGTTGGGCAACTGAATGCTGCTGAGTATTCACTAGCTGGATGCCCTTCCTGACACCTACATGGAGTTTGCAGTAGACGTTTTCTCTTTGCACCCCAAGAGAGAAACATCTGCTGTTACCTAGGAATGAACTCTCAACCTTGTGAATGGGAGGTGAGCATCTTTACCACTAGGTTACCACACTGCTGAGATCTTAACTTGATGAATAAGTAATAAGTATAATTCTGCAACAAATAGTGATAAAATGAGAAAAAATTGTCGGGAAATTCTAACTTAAGAGTAGGTCAGAAAATAGGCTTCTGTTTTTATGAGCAAATTAAGACATTGGGCAATTGCTCTGTGAAATATAAACACTGCCAATGTCTAATAATGACAAACCAACAAAACTAGGCTTTTCCCCCACTGAAACACTTACGAATCATGACAAAATAATACACAGCTAACAGGATATCATTTTGCATGAACTTAATTTGCATTAGATTAATGTAACCTTTAATTTAAAAATAATAATTGTAGAGAGATTATGGTAAAAGAGAATTGGATAGGATTTTTGCTGTTTTTAATTCTGCTTACCGTGTTTCCCTGAAAATAAGACATGGCCGGATAATAAGGCCATGCCACATTTTTCTGGTGGGCAAAAATATAACTCCTCCCCCGCAAATAAGACCCCTGGACAACCCCCCACCTCCGGCCAGGCAAAGTGCCACTCACCAATCTAGCGGTATCCCGAAGATGCCAAGCCGCGGGAACTGGGGGGCAGGCAAAGGTGATCGCATTGCTTGGCGCCTTCAGGATACTGCTAGCCTGGTGAGCAGCACTGTGCCAAGCTGAAGAGGGGGGTTGCCAGGAGGCTGCTCTCTTGCGAGTGGGCTCCCAAAGAGCCAGGCACAGCCTCATGGGTGAATGGCTGTGTTACGCTGTCACAGCAGTGCAACACAACAGCCATGAAGTGACCATGCTCATGAGTAGCCACCCGGAAAAAACCCTTTCCAGCTGGGCATAGCTCCAGGCTTGGCGCCTTCAGGATACTGCTAGCCTGGTGAGCAGCACTGTGCCAAGCTGAAGAGGGGGGTTGCCAGGAGGCTGCTCTCTTGCGAGTGGGCTCCCAAAGAGCCAGGCACAGCCTCATGGGTGAATGGCTGGGTTACGCTGTCACAGCAGTGCAACACAACAGCCATGAAGTGACCATGCTCACGAGTAGCCACCCGGAAAAAACCCTTTCCAGCTGGGCATAGCTCCAGGCTTGGCGCCTTCAAAATGCCAGTGAATGGAGCTCTGCACAGCTGGAGAGGGGGGTTGCGCAAGCAGATGTTCCACTCTCGCTCAAGCGCCTCCCAGCCTCACAATATCCTGGCCCAGCTCTCTTCACAGAACCAGAGCACCTCCGCTGCCGCTGCCACCCCAGCATGGCTTTTTCAGCAGCTTCCAAACTGAGTCTTTCGTCAGTGGATGCTCTGGGCGTACACTCTATGGTTGTACGCTCTGCAGGCAGTTGGTCGACAACCATAGAGCATACACCCAGAGCAGCCACTGCCAGAAGACTCGACTTGGAAGCCGCTGAAAAAGCCATGCTGGGATGGCAGCGGTGGAGGCAGCAGAGGTGCTCTCGCTCTGTAGGGAGAGCTGGACCAGGGCATCGTGAGGCTGGGAGGAGCGCAAGCAGAACAGCCACTCACGCAACCTCCCTCTCCAGTCGTCCAGAGCGCCATTCACTAGCATTTCGAAGGCGCCAAGCAATGGGAGCCGGGCACCGG